CCCCCGTCCCCTCTCGACCACCTCGCCGAGGCCCGGCCTGCCAGACCCGCGTCATGGCGCAGTGGCAATTAATTCCAGGTCGAGCCCAACCCGTCCCCGTACACCGTACACCGTGAAAAACGACAAATAGAAAATGTCTCACAAGCCGAGAAATTTTTTCCGTTCAAAAACACCAAAGGTTTGCAACCCTTGCATACTGGAAACTAAACGCAAATATACACCAATTGAAAATTGTGGAAAAATAATTCGTGATTTTTGAATACAGTCTGTATGTTTAAAGTGTACGAACACGGGGGTTCACCGTCAGGAGCATCACAAAACTGAAGGACACAAGGACACTCTGTAAAAAACCAAGTCTTAAAAATGAGAATTTGTGAATAATTTTGTTCACAAGCTCAACAACGGTGGGTTTCTCTGTCGTCCCCATAACCGATAAACCGAAGTGATAAAGAAATCTGGGACGCCATCATTAAAACAAAAATTAGTCATAATATTTTTGTTTTATAAACTTTTGTTTTGTTTTGTTTTGGGGGGTGAGGACGGTAAGAGCAGGTGGGGATGAGATGAGTAAAAGATGCAGACCTGGCGCGCGCAATGTTGTTACGGAAGAGCAACGCCAGGACAAGGGGGAGGGGGGCAAAAGTGCTGAGCAAGGGTGAAATAACAGACGAGACGAGAAAGGAGCGAGAGAGCAAGCGTGCCAGCGAGAGAGAGAGACAGAGAGATGGGAAACGACCGAGTGGTGGCGTAGCGGTGCGGGGAAGATCGAGAGGGGGATGAAGAAACAGTTCGAGCGTCGTTATTTGGCTGAGCAAGGGCAGATCACCCGCGCGGCGCGGCGCGCCATCTCAAATTCAAATGAGATCGGTAATAAGGCGAAGGGAGGAGGAGGGGCACTCACAGGCCGGGGCACACAAGATGGCGTTGAGCCCGCGCCGCTGAAAGTGTCGTTTTCAAGAGATTTGTCGCGCCTGCGCCACATTCTTATTCACTTTGTCACCAGCCGCTGCCAGAGAGAGAGAGAGAGAGAGAGAGAGAGAGAGCAAACTTCCCGCACATCGTGTGCCGTGCGGGGGGGGGGGGCGGGGGGTGACAGGCGTCATACGTCGAGGCAGAGAGCCTCACTCCAGAGAGAGAGAGAGAGAGAGGGGGGGGGGGCGGGGGGTGACAGGCGTCATACGTCGAGGCAGAGAGCCTCACTCCGCACTCCGCCCACAGCTGCCACATGCTTCAGG